CCTAAAATTTATATAGAATCATAAAATACCTTGAATAGCCAAAAAAAAAATCTTAAGCAAGAACAAAGCTTGGAGCATCACATTACCTGACTTTAAAATATACTACAAATCTATAGTAATCAAAACAGTATGGTGTTAGCATTAAAAGAAACTGACAAGATGTGAGGTGATAGATATTGCTATTAGCTTCATTTAATCATTATACAATGAACATACATATTTATATCATAGTATCACATTTTCTCCATAAATATGTAAAATTATTATTTGTCAATTAAAATAAACAAGTACATCAAGGAAAATAAGATGCTTCCCTTCCATTTTCCCTACACTCTTTCCTCTTCCCACTCCAATTTACAAGGAACTGTTCTTCAGAAATTCATCACAAAGTGTTTGACTAGTAACAAGCTCCTCTGCAACCCTATCCTCATTCTGCGTCACCTTTTTCATCTTCTGCCCTTTAGTGGAATCTAGTCTATCATCTCCCTCTCCATCTCTCTCGGAGAGGTTGATATTCTTCCATTCACTTTAACACGGGACTGTGATAAAGAGTGGCATTCCCCTGATCTCTCCCTGTCAATTCCAGGTGGGTTTGCTTCCATGATCTCTATAACAACTAATGCTGTTGTGGGGTCTCTGTCATCTGGCCCTACCCTTCTCCGATAGCCTTGTAGCTTTGATTTACCAACCTCCGACCTCCAACTTTCAACCTCAGAAATCAGATCCCGGGTTATGGTCTTCCCCTCATCCCAAGCCCTACCAGCCACGGTCCCACAAGACTGTATGGAGGTGGGTAATACACAGGAACCTTCCCCCCTATTCTGATTATCTGCTTAATATAGCTGTTCCCTTCTTATATCTTGCCATTACCTCTAGAACTGGCTACTCTTCTGTCACCTTGAACCCCAGAACCTGGAAAAGGTGCACTGCTCAGCACTTTCAGTCTCTAACTTCACCCTGGCCACGTTGTTTCATAATATCCCTCTTTATACAGAGCACAGAGAGTAGGAATCATGTCTCTTTACTGAAGATTGAACATACCATTCTTTATGGAGGAAGATGTAAGATTTAGGGCCTTATCTTGCCCTTTGCTTACCCTAAAATAGAAATATTAAAACCTACTTTAAAAGATGTAAGAATTCTGGGATTTGAGGATAGATATCATCTGGCAACCAAAACATGTTCTTAATGTACAGCATTATTCTATAGCAAGTAGAGGGTAGGCAAGATTTTACATCAATAAATCCAAATTAAGTGCAATCTAAGTGATCTCTAGTAGGGATCCAGTGATTCAGTGGGAAAGCTAAAAAGTGGTTAGCGAGGTGTCACATTTCACACATTTTATGACTATGTGTTAATCCTGGAATAGTTTAGAGAAGTCTTCAAAAATAGTATATAAGTTATTCATGTTTAAAAATGTAAGTTATTGTAGCTTTTCTCCATATACCATATTCTGTACACTCTCTATACATCTTAATGGGATACTGAAGGACCATTGCTCAAGACTTGATATAGACACCATAGGTCACACCATCTCAGTAGCTTGTTGACTGGCAGCTGGAGGTTGGAGATGCCTGTGTAAAAAATTATTTTTTAAAAGGGAAAGCCACTGAAATATTTGTACAGCTTCCTAAACAGAGTTGTTATGAGGTGGCCTGGGGACTTCTTTAGAAATATGTTCAGGAATGTAAGTTTACAGGTTAAGAAAGACAAAGTTATGGGACAAGAATCAAACAGTAGGGCAAGATATGATTTTCACAGATAGATCTTTGAGACTTCTCTTGTCTTACTGAAGATTCCCCATACCAATCAAAAAGAGATCACTGATTGTTTGAGTCAGCTTTGCATCGCTGCAACCAAAACACCTGACAAGCACAATTAGAAGAGGAAAAGTTTACTTTGGCTCAAAGTTTCAGAGGTGTAGTCCTTCTTGGCTAAATCTCTGACATGCTCCCAGGGACCCACCTCCTCCAGCCACAACCCACTTGTCTACAGTTAGCACTCATTCAGTCCATTCAATCTAGATTAGACTGATTAGGTTACAGGTATCATAATCTAATCATTTTTGTATTAACACAGGAGTTTTAGGGGGACACCTCATACCCAAGCCATAATATAAATATCTGAAATTTTGCCCTCTTTTTATTCTAGGCTTATTAATGAAAAATAAATAAAGATCCAACTCTTGAGATTAGGGCAAAAATTAGGGCAATTTTCAAATTGCCACACCAAAGACTCTCCAAAAAGCATGCCCATCGACCATCTGGTTCAGATGCTTTCTGTATCCAGGTGAGTGATGCACACCTGTAATCCCAGCAACTCAGGAGGTTGAGGCAGGAGAAACACAAGTTTAAGTCCAGCCTGAGCAACACAAAATACTGTTAAAAAATCAAACAAACACACCCTCAGTGGCAAACAAGGGCCTGAAACCAAAAGCCAAACCCAGTGCTCCATCAGTTTTCATATGTAGCTTCAAGCTAAAAGTAGTTTTTTTCTAATTCTCCAAGGTTGGAGGAAAAAAATCAGAAAAATAATATTTTGTCATATGTGAAATTCAACTTTAGCATCCATAAACTTGCACTAGATTACAGCCATGTTCATTTTATTAGGTACTCCCTATGCTTTTGAACTTCTCAATGTTTGCTTCTTGGTAGGCAAGATTTGCCAACCCCTTTCTTAAGGAATGTAACTTATTTTACAGTTTCTTACTGGTAAGCATTCTAAGTCTGTGATATGAGGTATTACCCTGTAGGAAATTTATGTCAGTTCCCCTCCTCAGTTAGAGATGCAAAGGATATCTAGGGAAGAACTCCATAAGATAGTTTTATTGACTTGTAAAGTACAAACCCAATTTTGTTTCTGACTTTTCAGTCTTATTCCAGTATTCTCTTTTCTGTGCACTGTTTCAGTTTGTTATTACTTTGAATAATCAGCTTTGTCATTTTGCTGTTTCTTTTATTCATGAATTAGATAGATCTGACACAGGCAGACTGTATATTTGAATATTGTTATGTTTAACCTTCTGAAAATTTAATATACTCTTCTAAAAATGAATTATTTTATTTAAAGAATTCTGTAGTTGTTGCTGTAGTTTCAAATCACCAATAGTTGACCAGTCTTGTGCTTTCTAGTATTTGCATGCTTTGTTCTCCTAAGTCACACTGATGAAAACTGCTGGGATCCCCTTGGGAGGTGGGCTAATTTTTTTCTTAACTTATGTGTCCTCATACACAAAGAACAAAATAGTGCCTAATAATCAGCTGGTGGATGGGTAACTGATTTCTTAAGACAGAAAAGTGCTTAAGCTTTGTCTAGAAATGCTAATTTCTTCTCAGAAATGGCTTGCAAATTTTATCACCCAGAGAACCAGACCAGACTAGGGAGTTTTATCTTAGCAAACATCACGTGTTCAAAAGCAAATACTTGAGCCTGAACTGCAAGTTACAGCAGAAAAGTCCAGAAGTCCAGGCAAATCCCCTCCAGGCTTTTAGTTCCTTCTCTGTTGAGGGATGTTTTCATACTTACAAGGTGTAACTTGTTTATAGTGTCTAACTTTCAGCAGGGGATTTAGAGCAGAAACTGGCCTTACTGGTCACGTCAAAGCATACATGCTGGTCAAGATCCCCTACTGAAGAAACAGCCATAAAACCCATTACACTCTGTGTGCCCTGCAATGATCTCTCCCTGAGTGTGGGCTTCCAACACTCAAAAAGGCCCCCAGAAAACTACTTTCTCTTCATACATGAAGAACTCCTAGCCTTCTGTCCTTCCAAAGAAGCACCTTATCTACTTGTACTTCTTTTGCTATTTCATTTTATGACCTAAAAGAAATAGATAATTGTAGCAGAAGAAAACTTAATATTGTGAGAAAACTTAGAGCTAAAGCAATAATGGAAGAGTCAACGTGTATAATACTATTTAAATAAGCAGATTATATGGACAGCATCCAGGCTAACAAGACAGTGATATTTTGAGTAAAACTGTCCTTTTCTATTGGTTCTATGTTTTGCTGCAGTAGGGAAAGAGAACAGTATCTCCTCTCTCGGACCCCCTACCCACGAGACATATGCAGCATTTCTGCATTTCAGAGACCACTCTTAAGATCGCTGCCAGCCAGTGTTTTGCTTAGGAGAAGTTATATTTATTTATATATATATATATATATATATATATATATATATATCTCCTAGGAGGGAAGGGATAGGAGCTTAGAAAGTGAGAGATAATCCCAATGGAAGTCTCACCAGCGGGGGTTGGGGAGGTGAGGATGTTGGGAGTGGCGTCCTGCCAGTGTTGAATGAAGGCAACGGCTGTCCAAATTCTGAATCTAGGTGTATTGGATGCGGCTTCAGCATAGATAGGGTTAAAAATGGCCTTTGCATGGTTGAGCCAGGCTGGGAGCCAGTCGGAGCCCTTGAAAGCCTCCCTTCAAATTAAGATGAATAAATCATAATTTGTAAATCAATGGCATGTTACTCAATCTTTGGTCATCCCTGAGGTGTGGGTCAATCCCCCAGAAATTGAAGGGCTGGATTAACAGGGCAATAAGAGCAGACCACGCCCCCGGCCCGTCCCAGCCCCACATCAGCGCGGGAGGCAATCTCAGCAAGCTAGTTCCCTCCTCCGGAGGATTCTCCCTCCCGCGAGAACTTCTGGAACGCTGCCGGTGCCGTAAAGGCATCTGTACTGGGCCGACCTGGGAGTACTGCTCTTCTTATAGGGTTCTGGTGAAAGTTAAGGAGCTAATTAAAGTACAAAGCAGAGAGTCTGGAACAATAGAAGTTTCCCATCAGGCTTTCCGTTACTACCACTATCAGGAACCCGTTACAGCGGGAGATAAAGAAAAGAAAACCGGAAAGGTCTGCAAAAGGGGCGGGACGCGGGAACCTTGATTTGAGGAGGGGGGTGGCGGGGGAGAGCCCACGGGCGCAGCCAATCCAGCTGTCCCAGGGAGGAAGAGGAGGAGTCAAGGCCCACCCCCGGACACCGCAGTGCTCACTCCCGCGCTGTGTGTTTGGCCCGGCAGCCGCGTCTGGGCCCGGCACGTTCGCCCATCGCAGCCTCTTCTCAGCACAGACATGGCCTCGGGCGCTGCTACCACTGCGGTGAAGGTGAGATCAGCCTGCCCGGCGGCTTTGGTCCGCCTTGCCCGGTAGCCTCTCGCTCCGCTCCAGGGAACCGCACCTCTAGTCTGTGCGCTCTGCCAGTGCAGCGGTGCTGCGGCGGGGACGGGCTGGGGCGCGGCCCTCTGGCAGGGGTGCACACCTTCTCGCCTCCAACCTTCGGGCTTAGCTGCATTCCCCTCCCCAACCTTGGGGCTTGTCTGCACCGCACCCTGCAGGGCGGTGGCAAGTCATTTTTAGAGGGGCAGTGGGTGGCCTTAGGTTTCGCCTGCGCTGCTGCCCTTCTCAGGCACCACTACCTTCTCATGAGGTGTGCTGGCTGGAGCTGGCCGTTTCCCCCATGTGGCCAGGCGCCTGCAGCTGCTGCGACTGTCGCCCCGTGCCTTGAGGGATTCGCGCTTCCGCTTTCTTGACTCCGCTCACTGTCCTCGGCCCACGTGGGAGAGCTGCGTCCCTGCTCTTTTGCAAGCTTTCGGCTTTTCTTACAAACTTAACTTTCTCCTTGGTGAAGTTTTCCCCTAGCGCAATGCTGTAGAGTTCTGAGACTTTTCTTTAAGTACACTAAAGGCGTCTTTTCCCTAGGGCCGCTCTTGCTTTGGAGGCCTCTGACTTGAAACTGCTTCGTTTGCAATCTGGAAAGTTAAGAGCTTAGATTCTTTGGGCCCCAGATCCTCAGAGGTCTGGGCACGTGGGATCAAAGCGCGGTAGGACGCTCTGGCCAGAAAAAGGCGTGATTTTTGAGAGTTGCAATAAGCTTCCTTGGGGCTTTAAACACTTCTTTCCTCTTTGGTGGAGAGTTATAATTACAGTACACAAAGAAAATTCTATGATAAAACTTAAGACCTTTTCTAGACTTTTATTATTGGCCAAGAACACGGTTAACTTGGTTCACTTTTAGAAATTTCTTGCCCATGATGCACAAGGTCCGTTTTCTTCTCCAAGCATTTCTTGGTTCCCTGCACTTGTGTGCAGCTCTCCTGGGAAAAAGCACTTCTCTGGGATCAGTTGGTATTCAGCCAGAGGGGTTGGTATATTAGGCCTTTGCGGTGTTCATGAAACACAAGGAGAGGAGTGGGTGAGGGTGTTGTAGTCAAAATTATATGTGTAACTTTTTGTGCGTTTTATAGACGGCACACTTTGAGAGGTTTCCCAGGCCAGTAAGAGGGAAGAAGGCAGAAACTCACGTGCAAAGTATGTAAGTTTCCTAAAGTAACTATCTATGTAGTGCAGGTTTCACTGCAGAAATTAGTGTGTTGGTATTATGTTTTGCACATGGTTTAAACTTATTAAATAGTAATGTGTATAAGTGGGAGATCTTAAATTAATTTTGAATTACCCTTTCTCCAACAATTAAACTATGTTTGGTATCATTAGGCCACAGTTTTCTCCTACAGGAATTTAAAGCACCAACAAAAAGAGGGATCTTACTTAAAACAGCTTCACTTTAATCCGGTTAGCATTCTCCTTGCCGGTTTTCCTGTAAAATAATGCAGTGCATTTAAGTGCAGAATGGGCAATGTGATTTAAGCCCTGGTGTAAATATTGAATGATGTATATTTTTGTTCTTGGCAAGCTGCTGGACATCAAATTAAGAGGTACAAATGGTGCTAGGCCTGCCTGCTGATTTCTCTTTGTGAAGCTAGAACATGGGAGAGTCAAAGTGTACACTGTTTAAATAAGCAGATTATATGGACAGCATCCAGTCTAACAAGACAGTAATAGGAGTAAAACTGTCCTTGTGTATTGTTTCTGTTTTGCTTCAGTAGGGAAAGAGAACAGTATCTCCTTCCTGGGACCCCCTACCCACAAGACATTTGCAGCATTTCTGCATCTTACAGACCAGGTTGCTGCAAGCCAGTGTTTTGCTTAGGTGAGGTTTCTCCATCGAGTTAAAAATATATATATATTTATTGGATTACCCCAGTAGGGAACTAGGGTAAGTGACAGCTTCATCACTGACAATCCATGTTGCCAGCATCACATCCCCCTTGATTGCTAAGGCAGCATTCTGTGTAGAAAACATGAAGGTACCCATGTCCAGAGCAAAACAGCTGGTAAGAACCATATTCTCTCCATTGTGGTGTAATAGTAGCAGCACTTTTCCTTCTATGGCCACACTAACTCTTTTGCAGGTGTCAAAGATCAACTAAGGTGTCCAGAATTACACAGCAGGGCCTAGATAATGGTAGAATTGGGCCCAGAGCCTGGCATTCCACCAAGTGGATGTGAGGCATTTCTGAAATAATTCTATGCCCTGTTTTATTGTGAGTCTTCAGAAGGGCATCCAGCCTTAGAAAGGGGAATTGGAAGTGCATGCACAAATTCTCCCTGAACCCACTGAACACACTCTCCAAGTCTGATGTGGAAGCACAGTTGTGTGTCTGAGCCCTCATTGACATCACTGGCAGCTGACATGTGGCCTGACTTACTGCCATCATTTCATCTGGTCATTTAAATAGCAGTTTGATTGGAGGTGTAGGGATGAGGGTGTTGCAGCTTAACTCAAGGCAGAGAGGGGAGGAAAGAACTATGAAGGCCAGAAGCCCAGCCCATATCCCAGAAGGTCCTAACACTTCTTCCTCAGAATCTTACCCTTAGGGTCCTTGGCTGTCAGAGAAGCTCTAGTCACACTACTTTGAGAGGTGTTGGATTTAAGCACAGTAACATTTAACACATTAAGCCCAGTTCTACATACTCCGTTAATGCCAGCCCTAGTCCATCCCTTTGTAAAATACAACTATTACCAAGGATTGCAGCTTAAATTCAGTCACCTTGGTTTAAGAGGGTCTGTTAGATCATCAGATCATCTAAAGGTTAAAAACATCAGATTGAGGTTGGAAATGTGATACTTGTATATTGTTCAAATCTAGCTGTCTCCTGGCAGAATTTTATGCAAAAGTATGTACTGAATATCTGCCAGGCAGTGGGGGTACATCTTTGAGTAAGACAGTGTCCCGCTTTTCTTCAAGCTTATCTGGTAGTGGAGGTAGAAGGCCAGCCAACATGAGAGTGAAACAGAGTGATGGGGTCAAAAAAGACCTCTAGGAAAGCAGATTCTAAGCTGTGTAGTGGTTTCCCCCAATTTTATATGTTGAAACCTAATTGCCAGTGTGATGGTACTAGGAGGTGGGCTTTGGGGGAGTGATTAGTGTTAAGGTAGAGCCATCATGCCTGTGAATAGTGCTTTGGAGGTGGGGATAACCAGGGATTGAACCCAGGGGCACTTAACTTCTAAGTCACATCCCCAGCCTGTTTTATATTGTATTCTGAGACAAGGTCTTGCTAAGTTTGTGAGGCTGGCTTTGAACTTGCAATCCTCCTGCCTCAACCTCCCTAAGCAGCTGTTATAACAGGTGTGTACCACCATACCCAATGAATAGTGCTCTTTTGAAAGAGGCTCCAGAGAGTTACCTTATCCCCTTCTACCATGCAAGGCCTCACCTATGAACCAGAACAGGTTCTCTCCAGGCACTGAATCTGCCTTCATCTTGGATTTCTGGCTTACAGACTGTGAGAAATAGATATCTGTTGCTTATAAGCCACCCAGTCTAGTATTTTGTTATTGCAGCTTAAGCAGATTAAATATAAGTGGCTAGACAAAATGAGGATAATCATGTGAAGACCTGAGCAAAGATAGGGGTCAAGACAGCTAAAACCAAGGTCTGAGGCAGAAGTGAGATGGAGTCCTAGAATAGAAATCTCGGTGCTGGTGCATGTTGAGATAATGGCTTGGTGCAGCTTATTTAGCCTTCCATACATACCATGATTTGGATTTGATTCTAAATGTTCTGGGAACCATTAAAAGGTTCTGAGCAGAGAGGTAGGATCTGATTTACATTTTTAAGTGATTACTTGGCTGCTGTGTATTGAGTAGCCTGTATAGGGAAAGAGCTAGATCAGGCCAGATGCTGCCGCACTAGTCCCCAAGTCGGGGGTGGTGACCACAGAAGTCGTAGAACAGAGGTTGGCAAGATATGGGACTGCAGCAGAGGAACAGGAGGATTTCTGTTTCCCACCTGGGGAACCCAAATGATGGTAATGCTGGCGATCGTTTTCAAACAGAAGATGGGAAGGAACCATAAGTGACTCTTTGAAGCAAGGAAGGTGAATATAGGATTCCTTCATCTGATGTACTACTGGTGGTTAGCAGGCTGGGACATAAGAGGCCAAGGGGCCTTTGCTATAGGAATAAAGTGGGTGCAGAGTGATGTTGGGTTGAGGGAGGGAGGACGCCTCTGAGAAGAAAAGTAATTGGATGGTCTAATGGTTCACTGTAGTTGGTTATGGTTCATGCAGTGGGTGAGGATAACAGGTGGGCAGTCAAGAACAGAGGCAGCCATGGGATTAACACCTGGCATTATCCAGGGGGACCTCAGGGAGACATTGTCCTCCAGCTTCAGCCACAACAGATGATAACTGACCAGGCAAAAGGCCAAACAGGTCTTTGCCATTCATTCAGGGAGAGGGTGTTCTAAGGGATCTTAGTGGGCTGTGACTCCTCTGCAACTGCCCAACTTTCACTCTGGGAAATTAAAAAATAATGTGTTAATCTTTTTTGCTGTGACAGGGAGGGGATATGTTTCACAGTGACCTGCACAGCGAGTGAACAGTTCTCCAAACACAGGTGTGGGTCAGATTAGGAAAATTTGAAATTATAAAAATAAAGACAAGGACTCAATTATAAGTGGAAGCAGGATATGGTGGGTTCACCAGCTCTGGTGGAGTCTGGCTTAACAAAGAGCAAGAGTCTCTGTGTTTATTATATAGGTATAAACATCAAAGGGATTAAGTTTGTGAGCAAAACAGCTTAGTTGGGACTTATCAGTTTGCACCCACATCTTCTACCTCCGGGCAGCTGGGATTTGAATTCAAGGCTTTTGAACTAGTACATTCCATGATAGGCACGGAATTCTCCCTATCAACAGTGCTGAGTCACCTGGAAATGGGTGTTTCTCTTGGCACTGTTTTTTTTTTTTTTTTTTTTTTTC